TTAAAAATGAATATTTAGTTTGGTAATTGATGGGAATTGGAATTTTTTATGCATGCTCATGGATGAAAGATAAAATTATGGGGTTTTATGCATGCTCATGTATGAAACAATATAAGTTTCATTTTTTGAATGCTAAAAACATGACTCAAACCCTAGCCACGGACGACCGCCGTGACGAAATCCGACGGTTTTTGAAAACATCGTAAAAAATTCAAAAATTGTTTTTCATTTTTTGAATGCTAAAGACATGTGTTTTTTCGTGAAGCGGCTACAAGGTAGGCATTTCATCATAGAATCAACAACAGATTGACACGCCTCAAACCCTAGCCATGGACGGCCGCCACGACGAAATCGGCCGGTTTTTGAAAACACCATAAAAAAATTCAAAAAAATCAAAATAATGGGAGACCTCCGCGTCACAACATCAAATGTGGCCTACCAACTAGCAAAAATACTAAACTTGCAATACGGATGTTTTCTTGAAAAAGTGTTCTAAAAAACAACCTACCATGAAAGAAGATTCATGGCTTTCAAGCCAAACTAGCAATGATATGGCCGCATCCGATGAATAGTTTCTGATAATATGCCCAAATTTGGCGCATGCCTCCGTCTTGTGATGGCAAACAATGTTGCCAAAGCGAGGTTCCAACTTGTTTACCAAGAAAAACCGTTTTTCATTTTTTGAATGCTAAAGGCATGCATTTTTCGTGAAGCGACTACAAGGAGGGTCACCCCAAACAGCGCCATTCCATGTCTATCTCAAAGTAGACCCTATTTTACGGACGGTCGCCAAAAAGCATGCATTTCCGACTCTCGTAGCTACTCCCGGCAATTCAGACCACCTTCGGCCGATTCAGCTGGAACCGGCTGGGATTTGAACTGCGGGTCCTCCATAGCTTGCCCGTTATTTTTGCCAAAAATGCTTTTTAGCTTCATAGGTAGGCATTTCATCACACAATCGACAACAGATTGGCACGCCTCAAACCCTAGCCACGGACGGCCGCCGCGACGAAATCGGCCGGTTTTTGTAAACACCGTAAAAAAAATCAAAAAAATCAAAAAAAAATGGTAGACCTCCGCGTCACATCATCAAATGTGGCCTACCAACTAGCAAAAATACTAAACTTGCAATACGGATGTTTTCTTGGAAAAGTGTTCTCAAAAACGACCTACCATCAAAGAAGATTCATGGCTTTCAAGCCAAACTAGCAATGATATGGCCGCATCCGATGAATAGTTTCTGATAATATGCCCAAATTTGGCGCATGCCTCCGTCTTGTGATGGCAAACAATGTTGCCAAAGCGAGGTTCCAACTTGTTTACCAAGAAAAACCATTTTTTATTTTTTGAATGCTAAAGGCATGCGTTTTTCGTGAAGCGGCTACAAGGAGCGTCACCCCAAATGGCGCCATTCCATGTCTATCTCAAAGTAGACCCTATTTTACGGACGGTCGCCAAAAAGCATGCATTTCCGACCCTCGTAGCTACTCCCGGCAATTTAGACCACCTTCGGCCGATTCAGCTAGAATCGGCTGGAATTTGAACTGCGGGTCCTCCATAGCTTGCCCGTAATTTTTGCCAAAAATGCTTTTTTGCTTCACAGGTAGGCATTTTATCATAGAATCGACAACAGATTGGCACACCTCAAACCCTAGCCACGGACGGCCGCCGCGACGAAATCGGCCGGTTTTTGAAAACACCGTAAATAAAATGGGAGACCTCCGCGTCACATCATCAAATGTGGCCTACCAACTAGCAAAAATACTAAACTTGCAATACAAATGTTTTCTTGAAAAAGTGTTCTAAAAAACGACCTACCATGAACGAAGATTCATGGCTTTCAAGCCAAACTAGCAATGATATGGCCGCATCCGATGAATAGTTTCTGATAATATGCCCAAATTTGGCGCATGCCTCCGTCTTGTGATGGCAAACAATGTTGCCAAAGCGAGGTTCAACTTGTTTACCAAGAAAAACCGTTTTTAATTTTTTGAATGCTAAAGGCATGCGTTTTTCGTGAAGCGGCTACAAGGAGGGTCACCCCAAACGCCACCATTCCATGTCTATCTCAAAGTAGACCCTATTTTATGGACGGTCGCCAAAAAGCATGCATTTCTGACCCTCGTAGCTACTCCTGGCAATTCAGACCACCTTCGGCTGATTCAGCTGGAACCGGCTGGAATTTGAACTGCGGGTCCTCCATAGCTTGCCCGTTATTTTTGCCAAAAATGCTTTTTAGCTTCACAGGTAGGCATTTCATCACAGAATCAACAACAGATTGGCACGCCTCAAACCCTAGCCACGGACGGCCGCCGCGACGAAATCGGCCGGTTTTTGAAAACAACATAAAAAATTCAAAAACAATCAAAGAAATGGGAGACCTCCGCGTCACATCATCAAATGTGGCCTACCAACTAGCAAAAATACTAAACTTGCAATACGGATGTTTTCTTTAGCTACTCGGTATGATTTTAACCATTATTTCTACAAAGTTTACAAAAAAACCTATTTTTCTTCCTCAAAACCTCTAAAAACTGGTGAAAATTTTCCTCCCACCCCACCAAAATTTCCCTCCTAGCACCAAATTTTACCTCCCACCCCACAAAAATTTCCCACCACTTCTCTCCCACTACCATTCGAGACCCACCACCCCTCTCCCACTAAACACGCAGGATCCTCCCCTCCCACTCCCATCCCACTCCCCAAAATTTCCCCTTTCCATTCCCCTCCCCGACGAACCCTAGCTTCTCTCCACTCCCTCCCCTGCTCCGCGCCGCCCCGCCGCCCCACTCCCTCCCCTCCTCCACGCTGCCCCGCTGCCCCACTCCCTCCCCTCCTCC